GAAGGCAAATGGGTCTTACAGGTATCTTTATTTTGTTTGTTTTTGTTTTTTTTTGAGACGGAGTCTTGCTCTGTCGCCAGGCTGGAGTGCAGTGGCACCATCTCGGCTCACTGCAACCTCTGCCTCCTGGGTTCAAGCAATTCTCCTGCCTCAGCCTCCCAAGTAGCTGGGACTACAGGCGCACGCCACCACGTCTGGCTTCTGGTTTCAAGTATATTAAAAAGGCTTTCCCTATCTTCGTGATTATAAACATATTTTTCTGGCCAGGCGTGGTGGCTCACACCTCTAATCCCAGCACTTTGGGAGGCCGAGGTGGGTGGATAGCTTGAGGTCTGGAGTTCAAGTCCAGCCTCGCCAACATGGCGAAACCCCGTCTGTACTAAAATATAAAAATTAGCTGGGTGTAGTAGGCCTGTAATCCCAGCAACTTGGGAGGCTGAGGCAGGAGAATCGCTTGAACGTGGGAGGTGGAGGTTGCAGTGAGTTGGGATCGTGCCCCTCCACTCCAGCCTGGCAATAGAGCAAGACTCCGTCTCAAAAAACAAACAAAAATATTTTTCTGTTTAGTAGTTTCATAATTTTTTTGTCATTTACATATTTAATCCACTGGAAATGTATTTTTATGTAATATGGCATAGAGATAATAGCTTTTTTTCCCCCACCAAGTAGAGAATTAACCGAAAGTGGGTTGTTTATGTCAACTATTTCTCCCCAATGATCTAAAATACCATCTTTGCTATATACTGAATTCTATAAACTCCTGTGTCTGTTTCTGGACAACCTATTATTTTTATTTCTTCTTTTATGCTATATACCATAATTCTTCATTTATTTTCATTTTTTATTATTTCTTCTTTTACGGACGACCTATTATTATTATTGTTACTTTTTTTTTTTTTTTGCACTGCCCAGGAACCAATCCCAGGTCACAAGAATGGGAACTTATTATTTTTTTAAAAGTTGATTTATGTCTTTATTCTTACGCAAGGACCAAACTATTAGTTTTGTCACTTAATTCTGTTACTTTATAATTACAAAGTAGGATCCTATTAATTAATTCTGTATGTTTTCTTATTCTCAAGCACTAACTCTTCCAAGTAAGTTCCAAATAATTTTAGAACATCACAAACCATAAACAAAAATATCCAATGAAGGCAACTAAATTGAAATCTAAATAAAATAAAATCAACATCATTATAATAAAGAGTCTTCTCATCCAAGAAAATCTCATCCATCTACTCAGTCACTGTTTTATGTCCTTTAAATAAAACTGTATTTTTCTCATTTATACCTTGCATATTTCTTGTTAGGTCAACTTATTAAATTTTAAATGCTACCTTATATTTCTTTTTTGGCCTCTTTTTGTTTTGTTTTATTATTTATTTGGGTGTTTATTTTATTTCCAGCAAAGACTTCAAAAATGTGATTTTCAAGGAAGAAAGTAGTGAAGAAATTACATACAGTACCTTTTCTAAAGCAATATGTAGTTCTTTTTCATATTCTGGTGGCAATCTCAGGAGTAGAACCTGGCAGGCATCTTTAATTAGTGGAACAACACTGAGAAATATTAATACAGCAATAAAAAGAGAACAGAGCGGGTCAGCGATGAACCATCCAAACTGCTCTATAAGAATTGTGGATACAATCACACCAATGCTGCCAAGTGTATCTGCCAAAACATGTAGAAATACACCTACAAATAAAATATATAAGGACATTAAAAATTAAGGCACATCTAATTTAGTTTTTTAATACATTCTACCAATATTACTGGATACCTACAGTGTACCACATACTTTGCTACTGGCTAGTACTTCAAAATGCCTAAAACATGATCACTGCCCTCAAGGAATTCAGAATACAGTGGTAAAAATATAAGGACATGGGCATTCATGACACAGCGTGCTGAATTTTATGGTGTACTTTGTCTGGAAAGACTTCCTAAAAATCATACTTGAGGCAAGTTTTGACATTACCCAAATTACTTATATTAAGCAATCAGAATAAACAATTCATCATAATAAATGATTAGTACTTCCCTCCATTTTTTTTATAGTGCAATAAAAGTTTCTAAAAAAGGAGTAAGAATTTCCTTTTTGTAATGAGGGGTCATAATGGCACACTGTATTTACCTTGCAACTAATATCTATTCAGCTGTTACTATGAAAAGGACTCTATAATTATAATCATTTAAACACTAACATTTAAGAACAAATATGTTTTCATTTTCTTTTTTTTTTTTTTTTGATACAGAGTCTCACTCTGTTGCCCAGGCTGGAGTAAAGTGGTGTAATCTTGGCTCACTGCAACCTCCACCTCTCAGGTTCAAGGGATTTTCGTGCCTCAGCCTCCTGAGTAGCTGAGACTGACTACAGGCGCCTGCCACCACACCCAGCTGTTTTGTATTTTTAGTAGAGACAGGGTTTCGCCATGTTGGAGGGACAGATCTTGAACTCCCGACCTCAGGTGATCTGCCTACCTCGGCCTCCCAAAGTGCTAGGATTACAGATGTGAGCCACTGTGCCTGGCCTCATTTTCTTTTTAAAAAATTTTCTGTGATGGCCAGGCATGGTGGCTCACACCTGTAATCCCAGCACTTTGGGAGGCTAAGATGGGCGGATCACCTGAGGTCGGGAGTTTGAGACCAGCTTGATCAACATGGAGAAAACCCATCTCTATTAAAAAAAAAACAACAACAAAACAAACCAACAAAATTAGCCGGGTGTGGTAGTGCATGCCTGTAATCTCAGCTACTCAGGAGGCTGAGGCAGGAGAATCACTTGAACCCAGGAGGCGGAGGTTGTGGTGAGCCGTGATTGTGCCATTGCACTCCAGCTTTGCAACAAGAGCAAAACTCTATCTCAAAAGAAAAAAAAAAAAAAATTTCTGTGACATCAGAATTCCTGCTATATTTTGATTTTCATTTTAATTTTTTTTCTGTGTTCTACAGCAAGATTCATTTTCATTAAAATTTTTAAAATTTTATTGTGGTAAGAACAATTAACAAGAAAATTTTAAGTGCACAAAACATTATCAATGACTTTAGGTACAATGTTGTACAGCAGATCTCTAGAACTTGTTCGTCTTGCCATTAATACTTTATACCTGTGGGTTAGTGACCTCCATTTCCCCCTCATCCTAGCCACCATCAACCTATCCTTTGGTTCTATGAATTTCATCCCATGTAAGTGGAAGCATGCAGTATCTATCTTTCCATGACTGGCTTATTTCACTTGGCATAATGTCCTTAAAGTTCATCTATGTTGTCACATATTATAGAACTTATTTATTTTTTTAAATTAGATGCCATGCTAATCTTTGCTGTACTCTTCTAATTTTAGTATATGTGTTGCCAAAAAAAGCATAAAATGTTCCTTTTTAATTTTTTTTTTTAAATTTTTTGAGATGGAGTCTTGCTGTGTCTCCCAGGCTGGAGTGCAGTAGTGCGATCTTGGATCACTGCAACCTCTGCCTCCTGGGTTCAAGGGATTCTCCGGCCTCGGCCTCCTGAGTAGCTGGGATTACAGGCACCCGCCACCATGCCCGGCTAATTTTTGAATTTTTAGTAGAGATAGGGTTTCACCATATTGGCCAGGCTGGTCTCAAACTCCTGTCCTCAGGTGGTATTCCCGCCTCAGCTTCCCAAATTGCTGGGATTAACAGGCGTGAACCACCGCACCCCCAACCAGAATGTCCCTTTTTATAAAGGCTGAAAAATATTTAATTTTATGTGTGTTCAGGTAAGAGTATTTTCTATAGTGATAGCTTCAGACCTTTCTTTTACTCACAGATTGCTTTTTAAAAATCTTATCATACCAGAAGCCCAAAACTTAATACAAATAAACACAGAGGGTCAATTTAGAACACAGTCGAAAAGTAGGATAATATTTTGCAAGGACTCACCCCTCATGTTAGCATTCATGCCTCCGCCTGCAGATCCGTGGCTGTGACCATGCCCATGGTCACTGTGTCCATGCATATGATGTGAATGGCTGTGATCAGATGAGTGACAGCTTCCTTGAGAAGCTCCATGGGCATGGCTATGGGCATGGCTAAAGGCACAGATACCAATAAGGTTTACTATCAGCCCTCCAACTGAGACTGGCTAGCAAAAGGGAGAAAAAAAACCCTTTAAATTAGTAATTTAAAAATAAACTTGTTATTTAAAAGTTATTATATAGCTATATATGTTTTTCTGTTTACAGTTTTGAAAGTATTTACAGTAAAACCTTACTAGGTTTCAGTAAGTCCAAATTTTAAAAATATGAATTTTAGAACATTTTAGAAGAAACATTTTAACTTTCAAATATCAAGCAAAATTGGTAAGTAGAGGAATTTGGACTTATTTCAATTAAGAATGGTATGTACTTGGTTTATGGTTTATGTATAAATAAATGATGCCAAGTTTTGTTTATTTAAGAGTTTGAAAGTACTGTTTACTAGGGCAAGCATACACTGTACCTGAAATCTTGTTTATATTACTAGGTAAATTTGAACAGTTTATATGCAAATAATTATAATTTGTTAATGAGCAGATTCCAAATACGGTCTTATTATGTCTTAAACACAGTAAAATTTTCCAAAGTAAAACAAGTATAATGAAAAAGCAAACATACAATAGTAATCGCTCATTTATTTAAACTAAAAACAAACTTTTTTCTTTGGTAGAGACAGGGTCTATGTTGCCCAGGCTGTCCTCAAACTCCTGGGCTCAAGTGATCTTCCTGCCGTGGCCTCCAAAAGTGTTGGGATTATGGGATTACAGGCATGAGCCACTATGCCTGGTCTCTCATTTTTTTCTTAACAAAGTGAATGAAATTACTTTAATTTAATGGTGCCACAATAATACTCCAAAGGATAAACAAAGTTACTTATCCTTGATTATCTGCTCTTACAAAATGATCGTGAATAGTAGTAGCTCAGGGTGTTAATTTGTCTACATCTACAATTTAAAGCAATCCATTTGTTTTATAAAAGGAAAATATAAAGTGAGAAGGACAAATACTTTTAATTACTTTTCAAAAGTAGTAATTATTTACTTCTTCCTGTGATTGGGACCATTTGACTCCAGATTTTAATATGTCATTAGGCTTTATAAGCTTGTAGATGGTTAGTGACTTTGAATGAAACCAAGTACTGCTTACAGAGACTCCATCATCTCATAAGTACTCCTTCTCCCCTACTGAAAAATACATCATCATTGTGTATTTTATCAGGAAAATAAAAATGTAGAAGATGAAAGTCTCCTATAATTCTACCACCAAGGGTTAGTCATGCTTAAAATGGTGTATTTTCCATCTATGTACTAACATACATACACCTAACACCCTTTAAAACCAACAATGTAATCATAATACTCTTTTACAATTTTTTCTTATTTTGAGACAGAGATTCGCTCTGTCGCCCAGGCTGAAGTGCAGTGGCACGATCTCAGCTTATTGCAACCTCTACCTCCCAGGTTCAAGCAATTCTCCTGCCTCAGCCACCCAAGCAGCTAGGATTACAGGCGCCCGCCACCACGCCTGGCCTGCAGTTTGTTTTTCACTAGTACATCTTGTAAATATTTTCATGCCAGTATATACAGATATATCTCATTCTTTTCAGTAGCTCCATAGTATTCTATTATATAGATAACAATTTTATTTAATTACTTTTTTCACTGGTAGACAGTGAATTGTTTCCATTTTTTCACTATTATAAATAAGGGTACAATGAATCATGTACTACTTTTTTTTTTTTTTGACAGAGTCTCTCTGTCACCCAGGCTGGAGTACAGTGGCGCAACCTGGACTCACTGAAGCCTCTGCCACCTGGCTCAAGTGATTCTCCTGCCTCAGCCTCCCAACTAGCTGGGATTACAGGTGTGTGTCACCACATCTGGCTAATTTTTGTATTTTTAGTAGAGATGGGGTTTCACTATGTGGACCAGACTGGTCTCAAATTCCTGACCTCAGGTGATCTAACCACCTCAGCCTCCCAAAGTGCTGGGATTACAGGCGTGAGTCACTACACCCGGCCTGAATCATGTACTTCTATATGTTTGTGTGAATGTTTATGTATGATAAATATTAAATGTCAAAGGATACAAGCTCTTAAAAACTCAAAAAAGTTTATTTTTCCAAACTTATTCTAGAAACATTTTACTCATGTATGCTTCCACCAGCAAGACTCAGAGCTGCTTTTAGTCATTTAACAACTGAGTTCCTATGACAAGCCAGGTGCTAGAACTTACGAGTTGATAATACATAATTCAGGTCCTGAAGATACTTATATAATCTTAATTGTGGAAGAATGACAAATTAAATAACTGCAACTCAATGTTGCTAAAAGAAGAATGCACAAAACATAATGAGAATACTGAGAAAAGGAATCTAACAAACTTTGCGGAGATAAGAGGGGGATTAAAAGAAAGTATTTACAAAAATTAGCGGGGCATGGCGGTGGGCACCTATAGTCCCAGCTACTCAGGAGGATGAGACAGGAGAATCGTTTGAACCCGGGAGGCGGAGGTTACAGTGAGCCGAGATTGTGCTACTGCACTCCAGCCTGGGTGACAGAGCAAGACCCTGTCTCAAAAAAAAAAAAAAAAAAGAAAAAAAGTATTTCACTAGAGGAGACACACAAGCAAAATCTTGACGGAGGCTGAAGGGCAGAAGTAAGGAAAGGACATGCCAACTACAAGAAACAGCACATGTAAAGCTTTGGTGGTAGAGCGAGAACATTAAAAGTTGCTACAGCTGGCCAGGCACAGTGGCTCACACCTGTAATCCCAGCACTTTGGGATGCCAAGGTGGGAGGGCTTGAGGTCAGTAGTTCGAGACCAGCCTGGTCAACATGGCGAAACCTTGTCTCTACAAAATATACAAAAACTAGCTGGGTGTGGTGGCACATGCCTGTAATCCCAGCTACTCGGGAGGCTGAGGCATGAGAATCCCTTGAGCCTGGGAGGTGGAGGTTGCAGTGAGCTGAGATTGTGCCACTGCACTCCAGCCTGGAAAACAGAGACTCTGCCTCAAAAAAAAAAAAAAAAAAGAGAATTTCTAAGAGGAAGCAGTATAAATGTAAACAGCAAGATAGGAAGTCATGTTGATATAAATAAAAAATAAAATAAAATCTTCTTAGAGCAATAACTACAAACAGTTAAACTTTAGGATAGAAAAAACTATGTAAGTATGACTAGAAATTCAAATAGGAAAATAAAAAGACTTACTGTTAACATGTGAGTGTCTAATTCTGGAGGATCAATCAATCTAGCCACTGACTCCATAAACACAAAAAACGCTATTACTATTAGAAAAAGTCCATTAATAAATCCAGACAGAATTTCTATTCGGCCGTACCTAAAAACATAGAACATTTTTCAGAAAAGAAAAATGGCAAATATTTTTAAAGTACAAACTTTATAAATGAGGAAACAAGTCCAAATTTTCATACTACTAAGTAATTAATAATATTAGAAAGTTAGCAATATTTTAAATATCATATTAATGCCTGGAAGGTCCTTCATATATCTAGATATATTTTTTATATCTAGATATATATATATATCTGTTTGTGAAAATTTTACATATTCATCAAAGTCCTTCTTTACAGTCTCTTTTTTTTTTTTTTTTGAGACGGAGTCTCGCTCTATTGCCCAGGCTGGAATGCAGTGGCACAATCTTGGCTCACTGCAAGCTCCACCTCCCAGGTTCACACCATTCTCCTGCCTCAGCCTCCCAAGTAGCTGGGACTACAGGTACCCAGCACCATGCCCGGCTAATTTTTTTGTATTTTTAGTAGAGACGGGGTTTCACCATGTTAGCCAGGATGGTCTCATCTCCTGACCTCGTGATCCGCCCACCTTGGCCTCCCAAAGTGCTAGGATTACAGGCGTTAGCCACCGCACCCGGCCCTCTCTCTCTCTCTTTTTTTTTTTTGAGACATAGTCTCACTCTGTTGCCCAGGCTGGAGTGCAGTGGTGCGATGTTGGCTCACTGCAACCTCCGCCTTCTGGGTTCAAGCGATTCTCCTGCCTCAGCTTCCCGAGTAGCTGGGGCTACAGGTGCGTGCCACCTGTGTAAATAAAAATTAGCCGGGTATAAATAAAAAAATACCCGGCTAATTTTTATATTTTTAGTACAGACGAGGTTTCACCATGTTGGCCAGGCTGGTCTCAAACTCCTGACCTCAGGTGATCTGCCTGCCTTAGCCTCCCAAAGTGCTAGGATTACAGGCATGAGTCACTGTGCTCGGCCAAGGGAGCATAACCTTTGAGCTTAATTCCATTCAGTATTTATCAAATGCCCAATTAATATCCCCTTATTTACTTCACATTTTTTAAAAATGAAGATTTGGAAATTATTTGTACTAAAAGTAATATAAGTAATATAATTCTGTTCCTTAACATGGAATTTGCACTTAAGATATACCATCTCAATAGTCAATGTACCTACCCATAGGAGAAAATCCGAGTGGCTTTCCACCTACTCATCAGGGCAGCAAAAAGTCCCATGACCAAAGCAGAGCAGTCAAAGAGCATGTGAAATCCATCTGAGATCAGGCCCAGACTGTTCGTCAACACGCCGTAGAATAATTCCACAAAGGTAAAAAGCTAAAAATATCACACACACACACAAAAGGGAGGAGTATGTTGGGAACTATGTTTCAATTAGGAGGATTTTAACCCTTAATTATCCAAATTTACTTGAAGATCTGCTATAATTGTTTAGTTATTTAACTGCCACTTATATTAGAAACCCTATTTCACACAAATTGTAAAAAACCAAGATAAATCCATTTTACAAACTATTAAATTGTAAAAAACTAAGATAAATCCGTTTTATAAACTATTTAAAAATGGTTTTGTTTATATGTCTATAAAAAATAATAAACTAGGTTATAAAATGTTAGCAATAGGTGATTTGTAACACTGATTGCTAATAGTGAGATCCTGTAAGTTATTAGAATTCTTTAAATGCTACTATATTTACTGATTTGAAGGAACATACTAAATCAATGCTTCTAAAATGCCTCACAAATTGTTTGCTTAAATGGCTGGGCATGGTGGCACATGACTTAAGAATTGCCTAAGTAGTCTGAATATGATCTCGTAATCTTGCTATTATACTTAGAAGAAATTTAAATTTTAGCCCATCTTATTATCAGAAATTTGGGAAGTACTAAACTTATACAAGAACTGTCATAATTAAAATATTATGCTTTTAGGATATGCCAATTAACATTTAAAAATCTTACCAGATTCAAGCACAAGAAGTAAAAGATCTGCCTAGAGTCACTCTCCTCAAGAATTTGTTTTAGTGATTCCTTAATAAACCTAGGGATTGACTGAGAGCTATGCTGAAAAGCGTCACCCATGAAGTTATAAAGAGGTGTTCCTTCAGGAGAATATCCAATAAGGGTACCTTTTTGTCCTCTCTTAGAGGGAGATGATAGGATATTGGCAGCTACAAAGAGAAAAAAAGAATATTGTTTAAATTTTAGAAGTTTAAGCTACCAAAACCAACACAGTAACTGTCAGCACTAAATGCAAGCACTGAAGAATTTCCCAAATTAAGTAATGATTTGACCATCAAAATCCATAAATAGAAATTTGTTAAAATAAAAACAAGGGGGAAAATGCTTACACAAAATGAAGAATATAGCACTCACTACCACTCCTCCAGACAGGACGTGTTCAGTGCTCTCCTGGTGTGCTGCTTTGTTCATAGCCCGAAGCTGGTCTGTTATTGGATGTGTCCAAAAATTTCCAAAAAGGAGAGCACTAATAAAAATGGGAAAGGATCCATAACGAGCACATTTGGAAACTTCCATTTTGACTGAACAAATGGAATCCACATAGAAATCCAGGATCATGACAAAAAAGATAACCGTTGCAAAAGGCATAATGAGAGAAAACCAAGACTCGACTTTACTCTAGAAATTAAAAAAAAGAATTGTCAAGACTATACATGTATAAAGTTCACATCTTACAAGATGTTTCTGTTAATCTTTTAATATATAAATAATCGCATGATTCAATATGATTCATAATACGCCAACTTATAAAAGCTGTAAGATATTGGTACATTTTCTCAGTATTCTCCAAAGTTTTAAAAAACAAAAGCACTATTGTGTAATCATTTGATAAACACTAGGCGACACACAATCCTTAAGCCTAACACATGGTTAATTGCTGCTTCTTCAAATGATTCTTTTGGGCCATAGGAATGTGAGGGATATATAAATGTAATAGCCTTTGATTTGTATTTTCTATAAACAATAAAATTAACTCCAATTAAAACAAAAAAAAAAAACTACAAAGAAAAAGCAAAGACAATTTAAGCCACTTTCAACCTCAAATTAAAATACAATTTATTGAATATAGTGAACTAAAAATTTAATAGCAATTCATTTTACTAGCAATTTAATAGCAATAAATCCTTACTCCTATCTTACCTCAGTTGTCACAGAAAGAACAATGACCCATGGGCACAAGAGAAGCACAGAAACAAGATGAGATAAAGCCTGAAGACGTTTAGCTCCACCAACGTCGATAGAGAGCTTTCTGGAAGCTGTATGAAAACCAACTTTACAACACAAAGCCAGTACTAGCAATAATACTCCACCCTGTGAGTAAAATTAGATAAGTCTCATTAGAAACACATACAGTTCAATAGTCAATCCTTAAATACATGAGGTTTTTTTTTTCCCCCAGAGACGGGGTCTTGCTCTGTCACCCAGGCTGAAGTATAGTGGCCTGATCACAGCTCACTGCAGCCTCAAACTCCTGTGATCAAAGAGATCCTCCTGTCTCAGCCTCCCAAGTAGCTGGGACTACTGGCACACACCACCACACCAGGCTAACATAATATTTAAAGAAATGGAACTAGTATATTTTTCCCATATACTGAATTACTTAACTACTTAAATGGCAGGCAATGTTATAAATTAATGGTAATTCTTTTTTTTTTTTGAGACAAAGTTTCACTTTTGTTGCCCAGGCTGAAGTGCAATGGCGTAACTTTGGCTCACTGCAACCTTGGCCTCCTGAGTTCAAGTGATTCTCCTGCCTCAGCCTCCTGAGGAGCTGGGATTATAGGCATGCGCCACCACACCTGGCTAATTTTGTATTTTTAGTAGAGACAGAGTTTTTCTATGTTGGTCAGGCTGGTCTTGAACTCCCGACCTCAGGTGATCCACCTGCCTCAGCCTCCCAAAGTGCTGGGATTTCAGGCGTAAGCCACTGGGCCCAGCTGATAATTTATTTTAAATGTACCTTTAAAGTTATAGTTGCTACAACTTTTCAGAATCTTTTGATTTTGTTAGGAACAAATAAATCATACCTTGTGATCTGCCACACCTAAGAAGGCAATGGCTGTGTAAAGCATATGAGTTAGAGCACTGTCATGATGTCCCTCAGCTAAGTGAGTTGAAGTAAAGGAAAAAAAATCCAAAAAGTCACTCTTTGACACCTGAAGTTCTCCTGAAATTTTAGTTACACTATTTTGGATTGCATATAGACTGATCTGGGGCCCCCAAACCTAATTACTTTCAATAATGTGTTTCACTTAAAAACAAAACAAAATAAAACAATCTAACATTTAATTCCAGGACCTCATTTATAAATTGGAATGCCTGTATTTATTTTGTTGTCTCCAAAACAATTATAATAGTGCTTAAGATAAACTTGCCAGATTTTAGTAAACCTCTAAAAGACATATTGCATACATACTTTAAGTACAACAAAGGTACAAGAGCAAGGAATCTCCCTGGACCACTCCTGTCCAGTAGAATTAAGGTTGCCCTTTAAAACTGACTTGTAAAATGAGTCCTAAATCTGTCTTCTAAGTCACTGACCACATAAATCTTAGCAGAGTAAGTGGCCAGCAAAAGAGGGTGGGCAATAGAAGTTGTATCACAAGCAACCTGGAGCTTTTCCAAAGTCATACTCTTCTCCCTCATTGTAACAAAGAAAATTATTATTAGTTTACTAATAAGTTTTAGAGCAGTGAGTATCAGTAATAGAAGAATAAAAACTGGTGCTTAGAGTTCTGCTGGATGGAGTGGGTAAGGATGTATGAATAGAAAATAGAAAAAAGGCATGTCTGTAGAGTAAAATGAGTAGATATATTTGACTAGAGAGTTGGGTTTCTACAAGAGAAGAGTTGGGGCTGAGCTAGAGATGATAATTTAGAGCAAGACAATGAATACTAGGTAAGGGAATTTGAACTTTTTCTTTCAGGCAAGAAGATACCAAAGGTTTTTCATTTATGAGTATTTAAATTGTTAAATGATAAGGGAGCAAACATTATGTTGAGTGGCAAATCACCTTTTTTTTTTTTCCCCAACACCAGGACATTCCAAAATATTCTTTCAATGTCCCTACCTTTCTGAAAATTTAGGGTACTGTAGGTCATACAGAGACGCTATAAAATATTTAACTTTTAATGAGTTTGTTCATTATGTGAATAGTGATTTAGAATATCTACATTAATCTATGAAAGTTTCATTCATCATTGATCAGTTTAATTCACTCATCCTTTCTTTTTCCCTTGTTCCAGCCTTCTAGTTTTCTGCAAGACTTTAAACAACTCTGATCTATTCCAAAAGGATACGGTGTTCAGCCATTTTAGCCATGAGATCATCATTGTCAAAAAGCAATAAACAGATCACAGCAATAATGAAAAAAGCAGCTCCCCTTGTCTGAAAATAAAGAAAATAACATCAAGGATGACTTTTTCAAGGGTTGATTTTTAAGACCGTAGAAAAACATTTTCTCAAGCAAGCATTTACAAAAATGCATTAAAAAACTGAAAAAACATCTGACATTAAAGCTCTTAGATAAGCTTACAGTATTAGCAGTAAGACATCAAAGAGATATAAACTAATGATAACGTTGATTATCTCTTTGCTAACATGGCTAGACATATTACTGTGCTCAAATTGTTACTGTTTACAGAATCAATCTTCCTAAATGCTACTTTACTTTTGGTTGAAAAGTCCAAGTAGCTAAAGAATAACTAGTAGGAACTTGTTTTACTCTACAATATGCAAGGAATAAAGAATATTCTAGATACTACTCCTCTACAGAAGAATAATCCAGAAGGCATGGTAAAACCAGCAAAGTCATTTCTAAGATCTAGTAAAGTATAAACTACTTAAAAAGCTGATAAACTTAAAATTTATGTTCTCATTCCAGGGAAAAGTTTTTTTTTTTTCCCCCAGACAAGTCTTGCGTTGCCCAGGCTGGAGTACAGTGGCGTGAACACAGCTCACTGCAGCCTACAATTCCTGGGCTCCAGTGATCCTCTTGCCTCAGCCTACCAAATAGCTGGGACCACAGGCATGCGCTACCATGCCTAGTTAATTTTTTATTTGTAGAGACCAGGTCTAGCCATGTTGTCCAGGTTGAGGAAAAAGGTTTTCATAAAAGAAAATTATTAGCTTAGTTTATGTAAATATTTCAGAAAGGTAGCTTCAAGAGCAATCTAAATAGCATTACTATACATTCCTTTTTTTTTTGAGAAGAGTCTCACTCTGTTGCCTAGGCTGGAGTGCAGTGGCGGGATCTCAGCTCACTGCAACCTCCTTCTCCCGGGTTCAAGTGATTCTCTTGCCTCAGCCTCCTTAGTAGCTGGGATTACAGGTGCACATCACCATGCTTGGCTAATTTTTGCATTTTTAGTACAGACGGGGTTTCACCATGTTGGCCAGGCTGGTCTCGATCTCTTGACCTTGTGATCCGCCCGCCTTGGTCTCCCAAAGTCCTGGGGTTACAGGCATGAGCCACTGTGCCTGGCTAAGTAGCATTACTATACATTCTATATTTACAAATTTACAGGTATAACATGTCTTGTATGATACATATACTTGTAGAATACCTATTATATATGGATACATAAGTGTATTATATATAACTACATGGAAGTATAATACAATACTTCTATTAAAGTTTACAATGCAAAGTGAGGATACTCTTCATTATATGATTACCACTATAATGGATAAATTCTCTGTTAGTGTGGTATTACAACAAAATTCAGTATTCTACACATAAGAAAAACCGTGTAATTTTAAATTTCTTAAGTTTTCACTGAGTTAGGATATGGCAACATCAACAACAATCAAATACAGAGAACATAACTTAATCTTTTGTTAACAAAGAAGGCAACTGAGAATTTTGTAATGCTTCAGTCTCATAATCAAGAAAAAAAAGGCCAGGCACGGTGGCTCACGCCTGTAATCCCAGCACTTTGGGAGGCTGAGGCGGGTGGATCACGAGGTCAGGAGTTCAAGACCAGCCTGACCAATATGGTGAAACCCTGTCTCTACTAAAAGTACAAAAATTAGCCAGGTGCGGTGGCAGGTACTTGTAATTCCAGCTACTCAGGAGGCTGAGGCAGGAGAATTGCTTGAACCTGGGCAGTAGAGGTTGCAGTGAGCCGACATCGTGCCACTGCACTCCAGCCTGGGTGACAGAGTGAAACTCTGTCTCAAAAAAAAAGGCCGGGCGTGGTGGTTCACGCCTGTAATCCCAGAACTTTGGGAGGCCAAGGCGGGCAGATCACAAGGTCAGGAGTTCAAGACCAGCCTGGCCAACACAGTGAAACCTTATCTCTACTAAAAATACAAAAATTAGCCGGGTATAGTGGCATGTGTCTGTAATCTCAGCTACTAGGGAGGCTGAGGCAGAAGAATTGCTTGAACCTGGGAGGTGGAGGTTGCAGTGAGCCAAGAGGGCACCACTGCACTCCAGCCTGGGCAATCCAGTGAGACTCCATCTCAAAAAAAAAAAAAAAAGAAAAAGAAAAAACAATCATCAAATCCTGGACTGATGCCCTGATCCATTTCTCACACTAATGAGAACACTCTCATTTCTAGTTACTTAAGGAGGAAAACTTTTTTTTTTTTAATGTTTGCAAGTCATTTTTATTTCTTTTGTAAGTTGTCATTCCCAGTTTTTTGCTGATTTCCTGCCAAGGATCTTAAACATTTTTTAAACTGAAATGGGTGATTTATACTTTGAAAGAAACGTAAAACTTATTTGTGGCAATTTTTGTTGTTGTTAGTTTTTTGTTTACATACTGATTTCTGTTATACGTTAAGTTTATAATCATTATGAAGCCAAATATAGTCAGTTTTCCCTTTGTGATTTTTTCCACTGCTTTTATGCTCAGAATTTTCTCCATCTATATATTTTATTCTATGTTTTTACAAATGTCTATTTTGTAAACTCACAAAGCTCTTCAATCCGTGAAATTTATTTTGGAGTACTCTATTAGTGAGGGGAAAGGATTAAACAGTGGCCCATGCTTTAATACTAATGACCCAGTTTGAAATCTGCAGGCAGAGTATTCTTTTACTCTGCTCTACTTGGCATATTACTTTGTTCACTTCATTACTTCATTTATCTCTCTCCACTACTTTGCTTGAAAGTCCCTTTCAGAATAGGGACTATTACACCGTATTTGTCTTTATGTATCCTTTCCTCTATGTCTAGGAAAATGCCCCATGCACAGGAAGTGTGGGAGATCGGTCTCGGTAGTGGGAGAAATTACAGGAATAGAAGCAAACCTTCTTGGAAGGCCAGGGGGTTTTGCAAGTTTTGAGATACTCTGACTGAAGGCAGCCAGATTCTCTTATCAGAAGCCTAAAAGCTTAAGGCTTAGATACAAGGGAATGTACAGGAGTTTATCTAAATAGCTTGTTTACTCATGTTGTCCTAAAACCGACCTTTGATCATCTGCGCTCAAGACTGCTCTCTACGTAGGGGGTCAGCAATGTTATTTACCCACAAAGCATGTTGATTCAAAGCCTTTGTCATTAAATCTATACTGAATAAATGCCCACAGCGCCAGCTTGTCAGAGCCGCAGCTGCTGACGCTTTATACCACCCTCCTTGGGGTCTGTAAGTGGCCTGGTCCCCTAGCCCACTCCTTCACTAAATACCTGTGTCTGAGTGCATTTGTCGTTCAGTCAGGGTCTGCCAGTCAGACCCAGCAAGGAAGTGTTTAATTTGGCAAAACAGAAACACTGTATAGTTCTAACAGTTTGGAACTGTAGATTGGTAGCTCATTTAACAAAAAGATAATACTTGAATCACTTAGGATGAATAGGAATACTTAGGTGGCAAAATGTTAGATAAATGTTCACCATAATTTAAATTTAACAAGTTTTTAGTTATTTTTCAAAAATGATTTACGGGTTTAAGAATGAGTAGGGGGTTTGGGGGAAAGGTGCATGAGTACAACATGAAAGAGATCATTGTGGTGATGCATCAGTTGTCTATCTTGCTTGTAACGGTTACATAAATCTACACACGACAAAATTTCATAGAACTACATGCATACATACATACATACACACACACGATTGTATGTAAAATTGGTAAAATCTGCGTAAGGTCTATGGATTGCACCAATTTTAATTTCCTGTTTTTTTTTTTTTTAATTTTTGTGGGTACATAGTAGGTATACGTATTTACGGGGTACATGAGATGTTTTGATATAGGCATGCAATGTGTATAATCACATCATGTAAAACAGGGTATCCATCCCTTTGAGCATTTAGCTTTTGTGTTACAAATAATTCAATTATACTCTTATAGTTATTTTAAATGTGCAATTAAATTATTATTGATTATGGTCACCCTATTGTGATATGAAATACTAGGTCTAATTGCCCGGTTTTGATAGTGTACTTGAGTTGGTTAAGAAGTTACCTTTCGGGGAAACTAAATGAAGGGTGAGGGTCCTCTATGTACTATTTTAGCAACTTCCTGGGAATCTATAATCATTTCAAGATCATTTTCCACTGTTTTCATGTTCAGAAATTTCTTCAACTATAGATTATTTTATATTTTTACAAACATCTATTTTTGTAAACTTACAGAATTCTTCAAAACCAAAAAATATTTGTAAGAAAATGTAAAACTAGCAGAAAAAGCCCGTTTTTGTTTTTTGTTTTGTTTTGTTTTTGTTTTTGTTTTTGTTTTTGAGACGGAGTCTCGCTCTGTCGCCCAGGCTGGAGTGCAGTGGCCAGATCTCGGCTCACTACAAGCTCCGCCTCCCGGGTTTACGCCATTCTCCTGCCTCAGCCTCCCGAGTAGCTGGGACTACAGGCGCCCGCCACCTCGCCCGGCTAGTTTTTTTGTATTTTTTAGTAGAGACGGGGTTTCACCGTGTTAGCCAGGATGGTCTCGATCTCCTGACCTCGTGATCCGCCCGTCTCGGCCTCCCAAAGCGCTGGGATTACAGGCTTGAGCCACCGCGCCTGGCCACGTTTTTTTTTTTTTTTGAGGCTGAGTCTCACTCTATCGCCCAGGTTGGAGCACAGTGGCGTGATCTCAGCTCACTGTAACCTCCACCTCCCAGGTTCAAACAATTCTTGTGCCTCAGCCTCCAGAGTAGCTGGGATTATAGGTGCCCGTCATCATGCCCAGCTAATTTTTGCATTTTTCGTAGAGACGGGATTTCACCATGTTGGCTAGGCTAGTTTCAAGCTCCTGACCTCATGTAATTCGCTCACCTCAACCTCCCACGGTGTTGGGATTACAGGCGTGAGCCATCACGCTCAGCCTCCCTGCATTCTTTTAAATGGTGAAAGATAAGATTTTATTCCTTTGGATAATATATGACATACATACTTTCCATTTCCAAGTAACTGATAACGGAAAATTCTACCTTTGCTGGTCCTCCTCCAGAACTGGTGAACAAAACACTGAGTAGTGAAATGACAACAATATCACTGTGTTCAAATAGCAGCAAAGTCCTACAAAAATAAAACATTATCATTCATGAAATGTAATTTATCTTTATCAAGACGCATGAATTCAACTAGAGTTAGAGAAAGAAAAACATTTCCCCCTTGATTTCACAAAACATAAGAAAAATAAATAGGTACAACCGCTTTAGAAAATAGTTTGGCATTATCTACCTTAGAAAGACTGAAGCTACAAATACCCAATCATACCCCTCATAGAATTACGTCATACAGATTTCTTATTCTTGTATAGATATGTATCAAGTAACACTTACAAGGTTGCTCATACCAGCACTGTCTGCAGTAAGCCAAAAAATACCGGCAATGTGGCTGGGTGCGGTGGCTGACACCTATAATCCCAGCACTTTGGGAGGCCAAGGCAGGCGGATCACGAGGTCAAGAGATCGAGACCACTCTGGCCAACATGGTGAAGCCCTGTCTCTACTAAATATACAAAAATTAGCTGGGCATGGTGGCATGCGCCTGTAATCCCAGCTACTCGGGAGGCTGAGGCAGGAGAATCACTTGAACTCGGGAGGTGGAGGTTGCAGTAAGCCAAGATCGGGCCGCTGCACTCCAGCCTGGTGACAGAGCAAGACTTTATCTCAA